ATACAGCTTGTATTGATATGTAAAGTGTGTGTGCCAAAGGTCTGTCCAATAATCGCCAAATAGAGCCCAAAACGTGTAAATACGTCTCATTCCGTGCGCCTATCTGTCTCTATCAACCTGCGGGATCTCCACCACCACCACCACCACCACAAATGATGCATTAGATGCATTGAATGTATTTGTTGTGCAAGTTTGAAAAGGCAGCGATAATCTGGGAGTGAGAGATAAGGAACACCAATTTATTCAGCAGCACTTTGGACTCTGCTTCCAGCCTCGGTCGGTGCTGACACCCCCAGCAGTTTGCTGATAACGATTAGGCCATTTATTATCTTCACAGAGAACAAAGATTGCGCGGTGCCGATGAAATATTACCCCTGGTAATAATCAGGAGGGGAGAGGGCCGCGACATCTAATGCGGTGTGCATATTATATTTGTCTGACGAAAATCACCGTGCACGCGCAAACACTCCTGGTGTGGGGGTGGGAGGATTTGAGCAGAGCGTGCAGGGAATAACAAACAACTGCAAGTGATCTAGACATAATAATTTACTAAATAAAATAAATATTTACTGCTTTTAATAAAAATATTATTTGAACAACAATAATAATAATAATAATAATAATAATAATAATAATAATAATGTATGAAAATGTCTCAAAATTTTATTTATTTATTTATTTATTTATTTATTCATTTATTTATTTATTTATGCATATAACACAATTGTTGCCAGAAAAATCACAATGTCAAATTTTAAATAGTTTCAAATGAATCAAAACTTAATTAATAAAATATCTGTATTGGTTGGAAAAGATTGCTTCATAATTGTAGAGAAGATAAAGTTATTTTAAACCATCGTTTAAAATCTCTCATTTAATAAATTTGATTCATCACCTTTTTTACTATTTATAATTCAGATAAAAATATTGCAAATAAAAATACATCATGTAGGCTATTCAGTTTTTTCTCAGATTATTGTTTTTTTGGTTTAGACTCTCATTTATTTTTAACAACTTTTTCTCATCTCTCCTTTCTTTATTTTTTTAACAAAGACTCCGTCAGACTCAACATTTCTTTTCCTTTTTCTGTCTGTCCTTTCTTTTTGTTGTGTGTGCGTGCACTCAGGGGAGCACGAGCTCCGAGTTGCAGAGGTCCTCGCACCCCTCAGCACCTGCCTGGCTCTGCATGGCGCTTGCGCAAGCGCCCATGCAGGTCGCGTGCAGGAGATTTTAGAGGCTTTGCATGTTTTACAAAGTTGCTGTTGCTGCGTGGGGATATAAAGCACAAAAAGAAACAGAAAAAAGAGTAGAGGAGGAGGAGGAGGGAGGGACGCGGATTTTTTCTTTCTAAGGACTGAGGGAGGGGGGAGAGAGGGTGAGAGTCATAAAGCAAACTGTTAGTTAAGTTAATTAAGGTGGAGGCTGACATATTTCTCCCAAAGTTAGAGAAACAGGAAAAAAATGTCAAAATTGATTCGTTTAGAATTGAAAGTGATTTGAAACCTTTAGACTCAATTAAAATAATATTTTTTTTTGTATTTTTAGGCTACATGCAGATATTTATATGCTATTTGTTCCCATTCTGTTCGTCACCCTATTATCTGCTAAATTTAACTGGCTATAAATTAACTATATTACACAATACGTAAAAAAATAACGTTGGAAAAACAGTAAATGTAGAATTAAATATAAATAAAATGCATTTTTTTAGAAAAAGAAAGAAAGAAAGAAAGAAAGAAAGAAAGAGAGAAAGAGAGAAAGAAAGAAAGAAAGAAAGAAAGAAAGAAAGAAAGAAAGAAAGAAAGAAAGAAAGAAAAAGCTGCTGGCTGACGTGCCGTTACGTTGCTGTGCGCCCGCAGCCTCTTGCAGACACACAAGTTTGGAGCGCAGACGGGAGACGCTGAGCTCACGCAGACACACACCTCTCTCTCGCTTTGCTGGAGGATACGGAGCAGAGCCCTGAGGCCACCGCTCCTTTTAACGAAACTAAAGAAAAACTCGATCTGATCGCCAAATCTGGACAGGTGTTTTATTTCTCTTCTGTTTGCGTTTAAATTTTGGAGAGAATATGTCCGAAGCTGCAGATGGACGCGCTTTCCTTGGACTCTAGAGGGGTAAGTGCACTGTTTTAAAAAATAATTAGGTCACTTAACAAAATGTGTTTGAATAACAGAAATGTTTGTCAACTGCATTCATTAAGTCACGCATATTCTGTACATGGTTGCAGGATAATGATTTGTTTTCTGTTTTCCTTTTATCAAACAATTAGGTTTTCTCTTACTTATCCAGAGACATCGTAACATTAAGGCACCCTGCAAACCTTTAAAATAAAAGAACAACGATAATAATTGTAGCTCGTCGGGCTGCAGCGGGTCATTTTCGCCCCTCGGCTGAGAAATGGTTTAGTTCGTGTGTCATCAGCTTCATATTAGCGATGACAGAGTTTAAAACGCGCGATAATGACAGGAGCGATCCCCTTTGATCTACGCAAACCCATCACGGGGGTCTCCATGCACGCTCGAGCAATAAGCACGCGCGCACGGAAAGATTCAAACACTGCTTTGGAGTTTGTTCTGCAGAATCATACAGAACTCATTCGAGCTCTAACAAGATGCTTTGTTTGTAAAATCAAATCCTTCTTCTCTGAAACGGTAATATTCTAAGTCCTCAAATGGAGCATCCAGGCCCCCTCCTCCTCCTGGCTCATCTAATTACCTGTGAGTAAAGGGGACAATAATGCTTCAGCTGGTTTGTGTCAGCCTCCCCTTTCTGGCTCTGCTTATCATCACGAGCCCCACTGTGAAACACACACACACACACACACACACACACACACACACACACACACACACACACACACACACACACACACACACACACACACACACACACACACACACACACGATGGATGATCGTACCCTATGGGAACAAACAGGTAGATAAAGCCGATCCCATTTAATAACAGCGTGGATCGGAATGATAATCTTGTTGTTCATTAGCTGCAGTGGCTGCAGAGCTACTGCAAACACTTCTCACTCCCTATCAGGAGCTGTTGGGTTCTCCACCTTTTCTCTCATTCTCTCACTCCTTCTCTGTGTGAAACAATAAGCTGCGTCCTTGAGAGAAAGAGAGAGAGAGAGAGAGAGAGAGAGAGAGAGAGAGAGAGGAAGAAAATATCATTTCTATAGCGCCTCTCAAGATAAGAATCTCGAGGCGCTTCACAAAAACAAAAAATATAAAAAATAATTTAGAAAATGGTTGAAAATATATTTAAAATGAGCAAAAAATAGACAATTGTGATGAGAGAGAGAGAGAGAGAGAGAGAGAGAGAGAGAGAGAGAGAGAGAGAGAGAGAGAGAGAGAGAGAGCAGCAACACGTCCTCACCCTCTGTCTCCGCATCTTTTGTTCCAGAGGTGATGCAAACGGATAAATTACAGAGAGCTAAATCCTGCTGAGTAATCCATTTGGCAAACATGTAAACAACAATGTGTGCTTTGCGAAGTCTCTCTCTCTCTCTCTCTCTCTCTCTCTCTCTCTCTCTCTCTCTCTCTCTCTCTCTCTCTCTCTCTCTCTCTCTCTCTCTCTCTCTCTCTCTCTCTCTCTCTCTCTCTCTCTCTCTCTCTCACACACACACACACACACACACACACACACACACACATTGTCTTTTCTCTACAATGAGATCAGCACCATTCTTTCAGCCTCATTATCCCTCTGAGTAATGCAGTACTGATGACTGATCAAACATAAATCATATTAAAGGACAAAAGGTAACAATGTTCTCGCCCCACCTGCCAAACATGGCTTGTTTCCCTCCTCTGGAATGTCAGTTATTCCAGGAGTCGTGCTGCGTACGCACACTAATTTGTTGATTTTAAGAGTTGACAAGCTCAAAGGCTGGTCAGCTTGCAGCCCTTGGCCACAGGCCAGTGATTTAATGAGCGGTGACAGACACACACACGTTTTACTCACCGGATCCCAAAAAGCTCCTCTGCGTGATCAGTGTTATTATGAGGACGTTTTATGCACCTATTTCTTCAGCGGTTCGGTGACGTCAGAGCTCGGCGTCATTGAGGCGGATGGTCCAAGGTGTATGCAGAACGTAACACGCATTCCTGCAGCCGCTCACAAACAAACAAAACGCGCATTTTTACCGATAAATTCACATGCAAACGTTTTTTTCTGCAGGAGTTTTTGTCATTTAGGTATTTTTTTCTTTTGTGAATTGGGGCGTTGGGAGATTCCCAGCAGGTGAGGTATCGCGCCCATCCCCAGTTCAGTTTGCATACAGAGTGGGATTCTTCTACGAGGAATGTCCTCCTAATTAAAGGCAATTAGGCGCGCTCAACAATGGGACCAATTTAGGGGTCATAAATCGATTCTTTTCCTGTTGGTTTAAGAATGCAGAAATACTTGTTTATTTACACAACAGAAGTATGCAACAGAGATAAACAAACCAGAGTATACCTTAGCCAGCTGAAGGATGAAAAAGGAAACGGTGCGCATTTTACGCACCAGAGGAAAGATGACTCACAATATGAAATATTCCCCAGATGAGTTCAGACGAGAGTAATTAAGTAAGTTTAAGCAAGTCAAACCACCAGCCACCCCTCCACTTTTGACGTAATTCTTTAGCTTCACAAGCTGTCTGTAAGAAAACTGACATTAAGCTATTTGAGCTGATTTCTCTGGAGGCATGGCGTTGCAGATTTGCAACGTTAAAACCTACCCACCTGGTTACTCCACATATGTATTTCATGAGCAGGTTTTAACTCCGAAGTACTTAGTTGTTCGTCCTTTTATCAAAACTTATTTTGAGCCTGAGAGGGTTAACTATTTGCACGAGAGCGAGTGCTTTAGTGTTTCTGCATAGGAAAATTGAAATTGAAAGAAGACGGAGAGCAGGGATGCGGACATTGCGGAGGGCCAATTGTGGCAGGACGCTCTGTGATTGGCTCAGGGCGACGCTCCGCCCCTCCTGGCTTGATATGGGAATTTACTGGCGCCAGTCGCATCAGTCTGCGCCGCATCTCATTAATGAGCCCGAGCACAGCACGGATCAGGAGGTTTACACATCCAAAGCTGCATTTTGCCGTCTGCTGATCCAAACTCCAACAGGTATCCCAAAAGGGGGAAGCGTTTTTTTTTTCCTGCGTTTTGGTTAAAGCGACTCCGGGTTTGGAAGGAAGCAGCTGCTTGTTTTGTTGTCAAACTTGTAACCATCGAGATTAAATGTAAAGTTTATTTTATAGTGTCGTTTGATGAAAACATAAAGGCTGTTTTATTTTTGTTTGCATGGACGGAGACGTGCATGAGATGATAAATGAGTTTTTTGCGTTTGTCTCTGCAGGAGTCTCTGAGGAGAAAGAAGAAGGATCGCGTCATTTCAGGATTTTATTCATTTAGTAAATAAACACAACCCTGACTTTCAAAATCCAGGAATTTAATTTTAAACAAAGGACTGGACTTCTATTGGACGATAAATAAACGAAAGAGGTGCGTTCAGAGGAGAGGAGAGCCATGGAGGTCGCAGCGGCGGATCAGTCTCGGTGGATGGCGCACCATCACGCCGTGCTGAACGGTCAGCACCCGGACTCTCACCACCACAGTCTAAGCCACAACTACATGGAGCCCATGGCGCCTTTACTGCCCCAGGACGAGGTGGACATGTTTCTGAACCACTTGGACTCTCAAGGGAACCCGTACTACACCAACTCCCGGGCAAGGGTCACGTACAGCCAAGCCCACGGTGAGACGCGCTCCGGTTCTTTTAAAAACTCCTGAAAAACACACCAGCTTAGAGATTATAATATGCACTCACATGTTGATTTTTTTCTTTTTTTACATTTATTTTATGTAGAAATTGATTGTAATTTATTTTTGATGCGGAAACATTTTAAACTCCTGACGTTTCTGGGCCAATTCTCTTACATAAAAGGGATTTCAAGCAAATGACAGCAAGAGGAAAGGGAAGTATGTCACTTAGCTCCTCTCCTCTCTCTGCTGGGGCCGGGGTTATGAGGGAGAGAGAGAGAGGCACTTCCCGGATATAAAATAAAAACGCAAATTTACTAATAACAATCTTTAGTCCGAGAGCGGCCGCCGGTGAAAGGAGCAGACGTGGAGCGTTTTCAGCTCTTTCTCCTGGGATTTTTGTTCTCACTGTGAGACGTGAGAGGCTTGTCTTCTGGTTATGACCTTTATTTAATTTTGATTACCAGATAGTTTTATTTTCAGCTAAATGACGGATTTAAGTATTTTTGAGAATTTACCTGGTAAGATTGTTGATTTATTTACGTGTATATTTTACGCGGATCTTTTGTAATTAATAGATTTGTTTTCATTTCAGCGCGCCTCACTGGAAACCAGGTTTGCCGACCACACCTCATCCACAGCCCGGGTATTCCTTGGCTGGACCCCGGGAAGGCTGCCCTGTCCGCCGCACACCACCACAACGCATGGGCGGTCAGCCACTTCAGCAAACCCGGTCTCCACCCCGCCGGCTCTGGCTACCCCTGCAGCAGTAACACCGGCACAGCCTCCGTGTCCTCCCTTACCCCGGCGTCCCACTCCAGCCCTCACCTCTACAGCTTTCCCCCTACCCCGCCGAAAGACGTGTCCCCGGACCCTGGGCCCACTTCTCCGACCTCCACCAGAATGGACGAGAAGGAGTCGCTCAAGTACCAGGTGCCGCTGGCGGAGGGCATGAAAATGGAGAGCTGTAGTCCGCTCCGCAGCAGCCTGGCCTCGATGAACAGCCAGACCCCTGCCACGCACCACCCGATCCCCACCTACCCTGCCTACTCCCTGCCTACGCCCCACGAATACAGCGGCAGCCTCTTCCACCCAGGCAGCCTGCTCGGCGGGTCCTCCTCCAGCTTCACGCCCAAATGCAAAAGCAAAGCCAGGTCGAGTTCAGGTGAGTCTCACACGGAGTTTCTCCATCAGATCAACATCACACTGACTAATTAAATGGGCACTCTTTCTGCAGATGAACGGAAGAGTTGCAACGGTTTACTGGCCATCATAAAAAAAAAACAATATATAAATTATTACATATTCTTCTTAATTGTTGCACAAACTGATCATTTCTGATACACATCAGCTGTCTCACCATGTCACTGCAAACTGTTTATGTTCTCTTTTTCGTGCCGTTTTTGTTCCTCCCTCTCTCCCCCGTTATTTGGCCTTTATTTCGCTTAGAAAATAAAAGAGTCACGACGCCCTGGCTCCTGCCATATCCTGTATACCTCCGAGAGAACAAATCATGACCTCCACCCCACCCACCGCCCTCCACTGCACTAACAAAGCCTAGGCGACAGGGTCCTGCTGTTTGTGTGTTTAAGCGCGGCCTTGGCCCGGCGCACAGACGCGCAGTCCTCATCTCCCCCATGAGGATGAGAGTGCATTTTGCAGAGCATTGAGCAATCATCATCATCACAGCAATTTCTCTTCTTTTTTTTTTACTCTAAATTCTAAATTGCGTGGGAGGAAATTTTTAGGGTATAATCTTCACTAATGTGGAGCCAGTTAAAAAGTTTTGTAATGAGTCAGTAATTTCCCTACCTTGTTCCAGCTGCAGTGCTTAGAATTAACAGATTAGAAAAAAATCAAAGCAACAGATTGTTACAAATGGAGTTCTCAGCATGCTCTGAAATGTGTGCTGATGGAATAGGATGCAGAAATGTTCTATTGTGACTTTTTCAAACAGACCTTGCCTGAATCTAACACATCAGACTCTTATCTGTCAGAGTCAAGGCCCAGGGCCAGTAATGGTGATATGCAGCTGGACAAAATGCCACAATGACATTTCAGATCTTCTTCCTGTCAGAAACTTACCTTAAGCCTGCTTTTCTTTTTTTTTTTTTGCATCTTTCTAATTTGTCCCTTGTTTCAACACCCAGTGTTGCATAAGACATGTAAGTCATTGTTGATGAATATTTGGGCCCCTAATTAGCTGTATTCAGTTTGCGTGTTTGCGAAACACTTAAAGAGGAAGAGAAGGGAGGTGTAAAAAGATGCATTTCAAAAGAAGCCCGGCTTTGTTCTCGGGTCAGATTCCATTGTAGAGTCAGGGTGGACCTTTGGGTGTCGCTGGCCTTATAACAAGGATAATGAGATGATGCTCTGGGGAGAGATGGATACTTGAATTAAGTGAATTGATGGTTCAGCAACAGACTTGGTGAAGTCAAACCTGTATGATGGCGAGAAGGAGAGTAAACAGAAAATAATTCACTGAAAAAAAGGATCTTAGTTTCAGTGCCACCTCCATCTTTTCATCAAAGCGTGCACATTTAATACAGCCAACCCACACTAATGTTTCCTCTCATGGTTGCCCACTGAGCTGATGAATAATGTAGTCCTAATTTGATGGTGTGTCTCATTCTTCTTGTTGGACACCTCTGGACATGTGTTCGCCGTTTCTGGCCCATAGATCGGTTTACACGGAGGTGTCTGTGTCCATGCAACCACTCACACTAGCAGCTACACACCTGCACACGCAGGAGGACCCTGTCATAATCACAAAGCCGATTTTTTCCTACACGTTACAGTGCCATCTGGGGTCAGCCAGCGCTGGACAGCTGCTCGCTGCCAGTGGCCTCTGGCAGAGTGTGAATCTTTTAATTATATAAAATTTCTTCTTGTCTCCTCTCTCCTGAACTATATGCAGAGGGTCGTGAGTGTGTGAACTGCGGTGCCACGTCCACCCCTCTGTGGAGGCGGGACGGTACCGGCCACTACCTGTGCAACGCCTGCGGCCTGTACCACAAGATGAACGGACAGAACCGACCCCTGATCAAACCCAAACGGAGACTGGTGAGTTTTGTTCCTTGCTCATAGGCAACCCAAATATGAGCACAAAGCAGATGCCTGCAGCACAATTCCAGGAAAGTTATATTTTCCCTATGATCTTCCTGGAATTGTTTGTCCCCCTCACCCCCCGATGAGCCGCCTTCATGGCCTGCTACTATTGCCATTGTTCCTGCTATCGTTATTGCTGCTCCTTCTGATGCTGTTACTGATACCAATGCCCAGTAAACGCCACCTCAACTATATCTATCTATCTATCTATCTATCTATCTATCTATCTATCTATCTATCTATCTATCTATCTATCTATCTATCTATCTATCTATCTATCTATCTATCTATCTATCTATCTATCTATCTATCTATCTATCTATCTATCTATCTATCTATTCATTCTAATTTAATCTAATCTAATTTAATCTAATCTAATTTAATCTAATTTAATCTAATCTAATTAAAACTATTTTTTGTTTTAAACTATACATTGTTTTTCTTTAATTGCAACATAATTTTAACAAAGAAGCTCCTAACATGTTATTGCTGTAACCATTAAACTCCAATGAAGCCTTTTCATTGATCCTGACTAATTACTGGAGAGTCATTGTCATCATGAGCCAGTCATTAATCTGCTCAACACGACCTGTGAAGAATTTCCCCACAAAAGCCTCCAGAGCTTGACTGAAGTCGGTTTATTATTTAAAATGTTCTCCAGAAGTCCCTTGATCACCTCCATCATCTCGTTCCTCTTCATGTGAAAGGTCCATTAGACTGCACTTTCCACTGGCTCGGCCCACGTCGCCTGTAGCTTTCGCATTTTCAGCTCAAGTGTTTTTCAGAGTTGTGTTCAAAGGGGCATCCAGTTGTTTCCTATCCGGATATCTGGCCGGCCCAGATAAGGAAGTCAGGCTCCCGGCTGTTTCCGCCTCCAAGCATCGCGCTGCATTCTCCGTGGCCACACTGACATGTTACAGTAAAGAGATTATCACAACAACGAAGGACCCCGCTTATGTGTGAAGAGACAGGCTTGGAAAATTAATGGATTTATGTCCCATTCTTGTTTTGGAGGTAAAAAAAAATAAAAATGTTAACGCACGCCCGCTTTGAACATTTTATTTATTTATTTTATTTCTAATAGAAAAGAGGAGGGAGCAACAATGATGTTGTTCTGCGGGTCAACATGAGCAAAACCACCTGAATTTAATTAGAAGGAAAAACAAAGTGTATGCTGCATGCAAAGCAGAGGAGCGTAGGGTTCGTGCTTGTAAAAGCTAATGTTTCTCATTACGCGTGAAAAATCGATTCGCAACAGAGCAGGAGCGCGTTTTTAAAGCGGGGACACCGGGTCTTACGCAACCGGGATCAGAGGGAAACCTGCGTCCTTACGGGTCGACTAATAGGGGAAAATTCATAAGAAGGCGGAAAGCGGCATTTGTCTAAGAAAAAAAAATAGCTAATAACGATTGTAGCGGCTCACACTGTGTATCTATTATCAGCTAATAAAAAGAAAATTTAATATTATTTATTTAGGCTATTGTTTGCTTTTTTTGATGAATGTATGCAGCAAAATTCTAACTAGAAGTAGTCATTTATTAGTAATAATAAGAAAATAAAATTATCATTTTTCATTATTGATTAGAAAACCAATTTATTGAGCCAATATTGAGCACCAGCAGTAAACTTGTAAAACCATAATATACCTCTCCCCTCAACATTATGATTATGATTATTATTATTATTATTTCTGATGAGTGTTTTCTGTCTGACTCAGTCCGCAGCTCGACGTGCAGGCACCTGCTGCGCAAACTGCCAGACCACTACCACCACCCTGTGGAGGCGCAACGGGAACGGAGACCCGGTGTGTAACGCCTGCGGCCTTTACTTTAAACTGCACAATGTAAGTAGCTCGGAGGAAACGCACACAAAGACACGCAGAGACACACAAAAGTGAGCGGGAGTGCTGGTACTTTGTGGGCGGACTGTATCGACTCAGGAGCGGGAGGGAGAGGGAAGCCTGTTGACCCTGTGGAGCAGAACCCACCGGTCGGTTCCTTTTTATTAATCCATCGTTGTTTGAATGGGGGGCGGTACTCCCCGGAGAGGCCACCGGGTGGGACTGTCATTCAGTGTAACGGCGTCGGTTACACTGATGAGGATTTGTCTGAGGCTGTTCCTTTCACACCCGGCCTGTCCTCAGAAACCATGAATCCAAATGGGCCAGAACAGTTCTGTTTGGTTTAGACAAGCAGACAAAAGCTCCAAACGCCCCTGAGTCTCGCTCCAGCCAGCATATGCAAAACAGCTGCTCGTTTTTGTTTTTACACCACTGAAATCCACAAACGGCTGCTGTGACATAAATGGGTGTTGATGACAACAGGAAGAGCAAAATGTGACACATTTCAGTTTGGAGAGTTTTTACACTCGGTTCTGTCAGTGCAGCTTTTGTCTGAGCTCATGTGCTGCTCTCAACAGGTCAACAGACCCTTGACCATGAAGAAAGAAGGTATCCAGACGCGCAACCGCAAGATGTCCAGCAAGTCCAAGAGGAACAAGCGGGTAGGGGACGGCTTTGACGAGCTGTCCAAGTGCATGCAGGACAAGGCCTTGCCCTTTGGAGCTGCACCCGGCCTGACCAGCCACATGACCCACATGGGTCACCTCCCCCCATTCAGCCACTCGGGACACATGCTGCCCACTCCCACGCCCATTCATCCTTCATTTGGACACCCGCACCACTCCAACCGGTCGCCGGTCTGGGCCGAGCCTCACTGAGGATCCTTCAGATCGTCTCTTGCTCGCCTGTAGGAGCCACCACATCTCCATTAACGCCAAACGGCCTCATGCTGAAAATGGAGAGGACTTGAATTGTGTACCGTGGATGATGGAGGGACGGCTAAATCCTGGGACGCAGCGAGGGCAGGACTTTAGTGGACTCTAGGACTGGCAGGAGAGGAGTGAATGGTCGCTTCATTATTTTTGCTTATTTTTACTAAGTCACTTTGGTACCCACCTCTCCCCTGACCCGGTCACAGGAGAGAGGCCTGAAAGAGAACCGCTGTTTTCACCTCATGATCATATTCTAAAATACAAGTCGTGGATGGACAGACAAACAGACTCATCGGTGCTGGACGGGCTGAGAGCTACAGAACTCGTGCATCACAAACCCACGAGACTAACTGTAGCACCAGACCACAGCTCTCCCCACATGCTGGATTGTACACAACCACACTGCTCCACCTGTTTTTTGATAAAAGTTTTGAAAAGCAAAAAAAAAAAAAAACCAAACCCAACCACAGTAAATAGAGTGTTTATAAATGCTTAAATGCTATTATTGTTATTTGATGTTATAATTATTGCTACAATAATTTATTTTCACTCTTTAAGCTTTCACCAGACACACATGGAAACATATGAGTCGAGTTTCATGGTTATTATGTAAAAGAAAACACTGACCTGTCGTGGACCAAAAGTCCCTGAGCTGTACATTTTTACCATTTTTTTCCATCTCACAAAGAAAAAGGAAATAAAGTTTAATACTGAAGTCAAATCTGTCTCTATTATCAGATCTACATTTTAAACTTTGAAACATTTGGACCATTAAACCATTTCTTTTTGCACGTTTCATTGTATCTACGTGATAAACTGATCTGAAAAAACGGTTGTAGGGCACAGGCTTTACCTCATAACTGCTTTTTTCTCAAAGAGTAGTTGGTCATTAAAATCATAAGTGATATCAGATGCATGGAGGGAAGCTCTGTGATCCCTAAAGCGTGGTAATGCTTTGGCCAGGCTCCTCCTCTATCTGTGATGGCTCGTTGTTCAGTGAAGGCCTCTTTGTGGAGCTAAGGCCCCAGGCTGGCCCACTGTGCCCAGACAGCAGACTCCAGCGAAGGGCTCTGGAGTCACACAGTCATGCATATGTACACACTCCCATGCTCGCGCATTCACAAGCACAAACCCTGTAATTCACACCCAAGCTTAACTAAATAATCTACCCAACATGCCTTAAAAGAGTCTTGGACAGGTTTTTTAAAAAAAAAATAATATAAATTCACGTGTGAAACTCCTGAGTCATGAGTGCAGTGTTTTTCTCACTTGTTCGTCGGCGTAGACTCCTCTTTCTCTTTTGGACGTGGTGACTGGAGTGAGAGGAAGGACAGTGGGTCTTTAGTGGGAGAGAGAAGAGGAAGGAAAAGCAATCAGGCGACCTGAGCAAACACACGGGGGTCTGCACAAACCCTTCGCACACAGATGTGCTCGCAGCTGAGGCTGCCAGGAAGCAGGCGGCAACTCTGTTTCTCCCTCATCTCGACCTCTTTTTCTTTCTCTTTGTTTATTTTTTCACTCTTTCTCTCTCCCGCTCTCTTTGTCTGGGCTGTTTTGTTTATCTTTTCCTCTTCTTCTTTCTCTGTTGCTCATTCTGCCTCCCATTTGGACCATTACAGCAAACCAAAAAAGGGACGGAGGAACTTTGAACGCAGCCAGAAACTAATGAGCCTGCTCGATTATGGGGCCAATCTCAGGTCATCGTCGCTGAGTTCAGTGTGCCCTCACACACCCACAGCACAAACCAGCCACCATTAAACAGTCTCGACTGAAAGCGGACAGCTACCTCTTCCTGAACCCTCCACCCTGTTCACATCTGCTGGAGTTTCCCAGAGGTCCGAGCAATTTAAATTGCGGGAAAAAAAGAGATTTTGGAGTGTGCATTAGACACCAACAGCATCAGTGTTTGCACTCACTCAGATGCAGGACTGGATAGGGGGCATCCTTTTGATTCACTTGCTAAACATCAGTGAGACTGTGACTCTGCCAGAGAGCCGTGCAGCCATCTGCATGCAGTGCAGCATTGTGAGAGCCGGGCAAGGTACAGGCCACGACTCCACTGAGCTGCACGCCGCTGGTCGGCTGAGCTTGGCCACGCTCCCAGAGCATGAGACGGGAAACGCACGGAGCAAGCGCTCCTCAATGAGGCCCTCCAGAGGGAAGGAGCAGCCTTCCCAAAAAAATAATACAGTCGTCTGCCGGGCCAGACTCCCAGATCACATCAGCATGCAAATGTACAGGTTGGTGTGGAAGGTGACCAGAGCGTAAACTCACAACAAGCTGCTAAAGCTACTTTTTTGATGAGCTGCTTAATCAAAAAAATTCACATAAGTTGTTTTTCTCTAACCCGATTTGGAACAAATTAAAAATTAGAATGCCATAATCTGCACCATGAAACGAGCTGCTCAAACTAACTGGATGCAAATCATTGGCGAAATGTTGTGTAGAGGTCATTAGGATATTTAATTTAATTAGCTGTGATGGCTCTTTTATTTGGCCCAGCACTGAGCGGTTTCACTGGCTGCAGGGGGAACACATGACTGCTTCAGCCATGTGACAAATACGTTTATGACCTCAGAGATTATTTGCATAAGGGCACTTTCATGTGCCCTAACATTTGTTTCTCCTTCCGTAGTTTTCAATCGTGTGTGCAAAGACATGAATGCTTTTGTAGTTTTGGTGAGGTGAAAACTTTGTGCACGTTTTACTAACTCAGCAGGCCTTGCTAAAGTAGACGCCCCCTTGCTGCTTTGTTTTCCTGAAATATGTGACACACATAAAAAAGAAAACATAAAATAGGAAGTTACTTATCTTCACTATCAGAGGGGCATTCCGTAGAAGAGATGAAGAAGTGAAGAAGAGAGATCTGGGAAGCTTCAGCAGGGTGAGCGTGGTGGCCACGTAGATCAGAGCACCCAGAGGTTTACGATCTCACCTTGGAACTGAATGTCTCGGCTCATCTTCACTCCCTACATCCTTTTCTGTCTCCCCTCCGCTCTTCTGTTTGTACACACCAACTTCCCCTTACCGCCAGCATTCATTCCCTTTCTGTACCCCCCCCCCCCCTCCCCCAGCTACTCCCACTCTTTCCTTGTCTCCCACTCCCCCGATGTATTTGTTTTTCTATCAAATTGAATTAGTGGAATCAAAAGGTATTCCGACCATCCCCGAGTTAGGGAGAAGGAGACGTAGAAGATGAAAGGAAGTTCAGAGCAGTTCAAATGCAGGTCTCGTAGTGTGTGTGTTGCGGTGGAGGGGTTTGACCTTTGCCTGGGCCTAGCTAGGAAAGCATCCCTCCTTCCTTAGACCCTTAGAAGGATATTAAAGCTGCAAGACAGGACAGACTTTAGATAATACACGCACGGCCTAGTCATGCTTTAAGTTTCCATCAATTCAAAAGTTTCACCATGAGAACTGGAGGGTTTTTACAAACTCATGATGAAGCAATAAAGATACTATTAAAAGTCTCAAATGTAAATTTTATCTAGTCATAGTGTTTCTATTATTATCATCACCATTACGAGGCCTACATGCAAGGGCAGAAATCCCATTTCAGTTTTTTTTTTTGGGGGGGGGGGGGGGGACAATAAACAGTAAAACTTTAGAGAGTAATTTTTGGGGGGACATGAAAAAAAAACTCTCTACATACAACACTGTATGTCCTTATAAGAGACTGACCTGTGACTCTGCGCCTGTGTGTGACAGGCTCGGGCTGCCTGTGCTCAAGTGACTGGACTTTGCCTCATGAAACCATTTAGAAACAATTTCATTTCTTTCTTATAGATGTCTTTATCAAAATGCAAGTTTCTACTTACTTGACGTTCTGGAGCATTAAAAAACGACCTGATGTCTGCCGTTTTTCGTTTCTCTGCCATTTCAACTGACCTGGTCTGCTGACAGTTGGACAGCAACACACACACAGATGGGATATTGTCATTAGAACGGAGCTGGAGGATATTGATCAACAATAATATCTTGCCAATTTTGTACATCTTCATAAGCATCCTTTCTTTTTGTTTATTTCAATAACAAGACTGTGGCCTAAAACAGAAAAAGCAATTCAGAATAAAGATTTAAAAGTAGATCGTTAATAGTTGAAGCAACATGTCCTGAAATGACATGGCTATTAGCTGACCAGCAGCTACACGTGTGGACGGATGCAAAGCATTAATTTTAAGTACTAAAACATATCTAACTTTTTCACAACAAAGAGAGAGAACATAAAATGCCAAATTAAAATTTTATTAAATCACATAACATGAAAGCTACTAAAATCCAAATAGTTCCATATTGATTTTAATATATTTGAAAATTTCCTTCTAAATATGGCTAGAAAAAATAACAGTTTTTGGGTCTGTGGCCAACGGGATCTTTGGCTCTATGTTTTACACTGACAGCTTTGAGCAACGTGCCTCCACCACACATTTGCTGCAACCAGTTCATCCCTAAGCTGCACGGTGCACTTGCACTTTGACATATTGTAAACAACTGCAGAGCCTGGGGAAGACAGGATAAGAGCGGTTAAACGCTGTGGTGTTCCATACATCGGAGCAGTTAGTTTTGATTCTACCATAGTCATCTGCTAAATAGGATGAAACGCGGACATTTTCATCGATCTATAAATGCTCCGCAGATTTCAGGGGCAGACCGTGAAAGCGTACATGTCCGGAAAAAGGAACTTTTGATCACCTTAGTGAATGGAATAATAATAGTGGAATAATCCTGGAATGACCAGAGAACATGAAGTGACCACTTTTTTTACTGTGGTGTTGGTGGTCTGTCATAAAGGGATCTCCGACCGGTGATCAAAATCTAAAGATAATCGGTGTCTATGTTTGACATTTATGACCACATTTGACATACATATTTAAGTTTGTAGAAAAAGTGTGTGATAAATGACTTACTGCTGGAAACCGCTGGCTTTTTGATTCCCGCCTCCTGTGAGCCTGCGGGCTGCTGTGAAGCTGTGAGCGGGGCAGAGCCGGCAGCCCCGCCCGTTGGAAACAGCGTGTGTGGACCGACTGTACCAACTTGAGGAATTGGGGTGGGGGTCGGGGGTGGACTATAATTTCTCAACAATTAAAAACACATTGTTTTGTATTTGCAGACTAACTTTTACGTTGTGGTTTTAGAAGACAATACAGGTTTACTGATAGCATTTATGTGTTTACAATAACTTTTGTGGGGGGGACAACTTTTTGTGAGGGGGGTACGCGTCCCCCCCGTCCCCCCTGGGACCTCCGCCTATGCCTACATGAACTTCCTCATTAACCAGAGGAAGAGGAATTCATAGAAATACCCCGTCAACTTCACTGAAAACAGGAGGTTACATTCAGTCAAAGAAACACCTGGTGTGTGTTCACAGAAGCCTCTGCACACACACTGCCGCTTGACGCTTAAATGCCTTCAAATACTTCTTGGATTAATCAACCGTGTGTGATTGGGGAAGCTCTGACAGGAATAACTGTCACTCAGAGGTAACGGCATGTATTCAGCGATGGCGTCTGTCAACAAGAGGCGACCACATCCTGAGCTGCTGAAATGCCACATCTCAGAGATCATCTCTCCACGTGATGAATATGGGTTTGAAATGGTTTTGATTTGTGCAGTTTTCCCTTTCCCTGTTACCTTTGCTGACCTATACACTGTTATCCACCTCAGAACTTCCAGCTGCACATCAAGCTCGACTGAGGACACGGCCGGCGAAAGAAAAGA